AAAGTTTACTAGCACTGAGTCAAATCAGGAACAGTTACATCCTGAACTGTAATACCTAACGCCTACCTCACAAAATGATTAGAGTTCTGTAAATATATGTTCAACAAAATGGAAAGATTTAGAAAAAAATGAGTCACCTTTGTTTTGATTTCTTAATACTCAAGTATTTTGAAGTAAAAAATAATATGCTTTTGATGGATATTTTTCTTTTCTTGTTTGAAACACCTGAAAGGATTTGATTTTTTGGTCTCAAGAAACATTTAACAACAAATGCTTCTTAGATTTAGAACTACAGGAACAAAACACAACATCAAAGGGAAGTCATTATGTACCCAGGACAGCGTTTCGAAACACTTCATATATCTATTACACAAATGAATCTATAACATCCTGTCTTTCTACAATTCCTGAACATTCCTGCCGTCATAAATCATTCTGTTTTTTTCAATTACAACATATTACTTCTCATTTTTGTACATTTCCTACAATAAACTACATTTTCTCCACATCACGGTATCATCCATCTCCTACATGATAAAATCATTGATCTCTTAAACCATTCCATGTTCCTAAGTAAATGCAATACCATGCTGATAATCTCTTGTGACACTTTGATAAACTTTACCGCTGTGAAATATTAGACAACAAGAAAACAATCTAACGATTTACACGTGGTAACAACAATAGAATCTGAAGGGATTTACATGGGCTGTCAACATAAAAATTCTCTCTATTGTACTGCTGACTCAGCGATAAACAACAGTAACACCGTCAGACAAATAATTACTGCCCTCAATGGAGGATACAGTCTCTCTATTGTACTGCTGACTCAGCGATAAACAACAGCAACACCATTAGACCACGTAGGATACAGTCTCTCTATTGTACTGCTGACTCAGCGATAAACAACAGTAACACCATCAGATGAATAATTACTGCCCTTCGGTCCAGGAGAGGAAACATGAACAAGAAAATATTGGACAGTGTAGTTAGCTCTATCCACAACACAAGGCATCAAAAAACAGAATATTCTGGACATATACAGAGGTAAATATTTATAAACGATTAATACCTATTAGATCTATCAATATTATGTAAAAGAATAATCATATGTATTAAACTTAATAATGATTAAGTGATCACATCATTGAATAAAACAATGTAAGTCTTAACACACATGAGTGATTTGATACTGAAAAACATCATGAAGGCCGAGCTCTTGGTACTGAACTGAGTTTCACTGAAGATGTTTCACACAACTGGAAGGAAACCTCTTCTACATATATATCAAAGTTCTTTGTCACAGGTTTCAAACTTGTGTCTCCTTAGTTAATCAATCATAATAAATCTCCTTTGACCTGTAACAGATCCTTGAAAAATCCATCAGCCTACAAGAGATCCATGAATGATAAGGGAAGATAACTCCTTCTAGCACAATGATTCTACACCGGTTGAGAGACAAATTTTCTGATAGCACAAAGCTGCAAGCACCAAAATTCACCATGAAATTAATTAATTGTTTTGCTACCCGCCATTTATGAAGGTATGTTAGAACAACATTTGTATAAAGAAACACCTTTTATCAAAAGGAAAAAGGATCTCAAAGGATGACAGAAAAAACTTGCCGATGACACAAAGCAGCACGCACCAAATTAACCATGAACCAATAGCTCATCACACAATATAAAGATTCAGCAATATTAACAAGCAAACAAAATATATCTTGTATATGTTCCCAGGGATGTTGGTGCATAAAATGAAAAAGCCATAAATTTGTCACACTTACCAATATAAGATATTACTTAGAATAATAATGTACAGATTTAGTTTATGTTAAATATTTCATAGATTTACATACTGTAAAGCCTGATTTATGTGGACAGAATGGATTATTTTATTATGAATGACAGACTTGTGTTATGTTACCCAATTATAAACACAATGATAGAAATAAATTTCGTTCACGCTGACATTCCTTGTATACCATAAGTCATTTTCACTACAGCCATTTTTAACTAGAAACTTGACAGTACATGAAAAGAAAAGCAATAATCACTTTTGTTTATCATAAATGTTATTATGCAAAAAAATGGCTTTGTCAGACCTCTATCGGTCCAGTATCTTACACACAAATATTCAATATCAACAAAACATAATGTATATGCAACATTTCTATTTTTGTAAAATTGAATTCATCATTCTATATTAGGTACCTATCTCTTGTTTTGTGCAAGATTTGGTAAAGTTAAAAAAAAACTGATGTAATAACAAGGAGTTACTTCCCTTGTATTATTAGCTATTATAAGAGTTTGAAAGACAAATGACAAAGTATAGTAAGTGTTTATGTTTGCATTCCACAAAATCTACTTACAGATGTATCTGTCAAGATATTGAACCAAAATACCATTTTCTATAAGAGTCACATTGCAATCCCTGGAAGCAGGCAGCCGATACAGACTGCACTGGGCCATTTGTCTCGTCCTTCATTCATTGCTCAACTATTTGGGTATCTACACTACAGTGGAGGTTAAAGGTCATACAAGTAGGGTCTTTTAGAACTCATGACTTATCATTAGGTAAAACATTAAACACAATGTTTTCCCAACATGGAATGTTTATAACATTATTTTCACTTCTCTGACAAAACAATCTGGAACACTGGTGTAATCACATCATGATATGATTTATATTACTTATTAATTACACAATTCTATCTCTTCTCAGGAATTATTTTCTAATGTGGCACAAAGAATCTACAATATATTAAATTTTGAAATAACTATATTCAACTTGGTGTTTTTATTTCTCTTCCAAAAAACTCTTCTGTGTCATTTTCTCCCAAAAGAATCATATCTGTACTACATATACTTCCTCTACTATTAAAAAAATATACGAAATATCCAATAAATATTGTATCACACTATGCTATACTGTGTTACACTCTAGTTAGAACTGGGGGATATTATATATTATAGAGATTTCATGCAGTATTTTACCCTATACCATCTGTACATTGTTACCACTGTGTGGTAAGGAAAAAAATGTAACAAATTCTGCAAACATATATAAATCTGCGGACTTACATATCTAAATCTGTGTTAAATCAAACTGCTCAATACAAAATACAAATATCAGATATGTGTTCAAGATTCACTCAGATCTTACATGTGAAATGTATATGTTTTGGAATCTTACACAAGCTTCCGTTTCATAACGATTTATGAAACTGGTCTAAGAATAATTTTCAAAAATGTTATTGGGAATACTGGTAAGCTATTACAACACCTGATATATTTCTTCAGTCTTGTAGGAACTGGAAATGTATTCAAGATTCATTTTATCACATGATCATATATATTTACTGTGTGGAAAAAAAAAACAGGCTTCTCTGTGTTATTCAGAAGTCATTTTGACTATCTATTGTCATTGTGATGTCATAATTCTATTATGATGTCACAATAGGTCATATCAATTTAGTTCACAATTATAACAAAATGACATGGAGAGTGTTCACTGTATCACCCAGCAATCATATGATAAAAATGTATATCATCATTTCAGCAATGAAAAAAGAAATCAGTTTTCTGAACTGTTTCTATGTTATTGTAGAAATACTAAAACATAAATTACTTCGTTAACTTTTGAGATAACAAACTACTACACTAGACTGGTGGATCAGTATGACAACCTGTCATTTTTTGCCATTCTCTCTCCTTCACACCATGGAATGTTTACATGATCAATTCTGAATTTCTTTGAAATAAACCATAATTTTACATATTATTTGAAAATTCTGTAACCCATGCACTGAAAAGTGATTGGTAAACTTATGCTGTATTTGACATATGGTAGGTAATTGTAGGTAATATGTAGAAATGTCCACACAATCAGTCAGATGATTTTATATAAAATATGGTAAAAAAAAACCACCCGAAGTTTTTAAGAAATACCATAATAAAACACAAATCCCCGTAAGGAAAGATATGATAATCAGGCTATCTGAGCAGAATTGATTAGCCCCTATAATACTGCAGTGCCTAGATAAGACAGTCAGTCTATCTAGCGCCGACAAGACATCTCTTTATCGAGTAGGAACGGTGACAGGTCCTTTCTCAGTGATAACCCCTGGTAACTAACATACTATATCCTTAAGTTCATCGTATAAGTAAACATGTTGTTCCGACATCAATCTTGTCACTGATAGTAAATTGAAAGTGTATCCTTGTTCTTCAGGCTCGCCACATCATATTTTACACAGGTTCACACACAATGTAGCCACTAAAGCCTTACAAAACACAACAGCAATAAATAAGCTTTGATAATATAACTCTTAATGGTCAATAACTGCTGTGTATATTAGTTACACTTAAGCATGGAATGGGAAGTCATCAGCATCTCATAACACACACCAAACCAGGCTAAAGACCTATTGCCTGTACTCTGACAGTTTGGTCTCTTACACACCAAACCAGGCTAAAGACCTACTGCCTGTACCGACAGTTTGGTCTCTTACACACCAAACCAGGCTAAAGACCTACTGCCTGTACCGACAGTTTGGTCTCTTACACACCAAACCAGGCTAAAGACCTACTGCCTGTACCGACAGTTTGGTCTCTTACACACCAAACCAGGCTAAAGACCTACTGCCTGTACCGACAGTTTGGTCTCTTACACACCAAACCAGGCTAAAGACCTACTGCCTGTACCGACAGTTTGGTCTCTTACACACCAAACCAGGTTAAAGACCTATTGCCTGTACTCTGACAGTTTGGTCTCTTACACACCAAACCAGGCTAAAGACCTACTGCCTGTACTGACAGTTTGGTCTCTTACACACCAAACCAGGATAAAGACCTACTGCCTGTACCGACAGTTTGGTCTCTTACACACCAAACCAGGCTAAAGACCTACTGCCTGTACCGACAGTTTGGTCTCTTACACACCAAACCAGGCTAAAGACCTACTGCCTGCACCGACAGTTTGGTCTCTTACACACCAAACCAGGCTAAAGACCTACTGCCTGTACTCTGACAGTTTGGTCTTTTACACATCAAGCCAGGCTAAAGACCTACTGCCTGTACTCTGACAGTTTGGTATCCTTCACACCAAACTAGGCTAAAGACCCACTGCCTGTACAGTTTACCCCCCATATTTACTTCTTTTTTCATCTACCACCTCTATGCTAGCATCTCTTGTTTGGTCAGTCTTCCTCCAATTAACACCCTATTTCAATAACACTCACACATTCCATGTCGAATCAAAACAAATATTTGCTCTCTTACTTTTTTTTTGACACTATACAAAATTGATAAATAAGCTCTAGATACAAAGTATATTGAAGTCTGAGAGAAGGCGTGATCGTGTTATTGGACTCAACAGAAAGAACCACAGTACTTTTAAATGGTTCTGTACTACTTATAATATCAACACTATGGATAGTCATTTGTATTAATCTCTGTATAGGTTTTACCCACTTCTATTAGCCTAATACCTAATAATGTTTTGTTTGCCTGTGTCTAATTTTCAATATTTTACACCACAAGATTGCATAGCAAATATTTAAATGACAAATTTTGAATGAGGAAGTATAACACTAAATATTTAGAGTTCTTGCTCTTAAATGATAAAAACTATAACATGTAGTGGCTATAACTAGATTTCCTGGTTTTGACATCAACTAATGAAATTTGTTTGAAATAAAGCTATTATACAGTATTGTGTGGATGCAAAACTGGAGTTGTGTACAATTACTGTAAATACAATGTAGAAATACAATTACTTCCTAGTGGCACAGCAATATTAATTTTTGTTTTAACAAAATGACAATAGTGAATCAATGCTATTTCAAAATCTATTCCATTGGCTTTGTGAGGAAAACCATTTTAGTCACTATGAGAGGAAACACCAACAGAGGAACGAGGTATTGGCACTTTTCATTATTATTTTGAAGAGAAAAAGCAGCTAAACAATTTACTACATTTACAGATGGGATTTTACAACAGCTTGTAATTAATTTTCAAGAAAACAAGTACATTTGTACATGTATATACATCTCAGACATATTGCTATGATCCAAATTTAGCATTCAAAGTAAAATTTCAATGGTAAATATAAACTGATGATTTTATACAATAATTATGAGATTTGTTTTGTGAAGAAAAAAAAATCCAACTAGCCTAGTGGAATGATCAACTGTCTCTGAGACTCTGCTGCCATTTCTGTTCAGCTTATCAACATTGTCTGGTAGATTCTGTGCATTATTTCAATTAACTGTTTCTTACATATAAGAACATTTGTCAAGCATATAATTTGTGATGGGACTCATTACTGGTGATGTTCTTGTACCATGGAACTTTGTTAATATCTCACTCTGATTATCAGCTGAACTCTCTAAGCTTGGTAATCTAACACTCTTTTAATGTATACATCATTAGATGACATAGGTAACAATTTTTGTCAATCAGCTCATCCTAGATTCTCAAATGTGGAAATTTGATCATATGACCGTATTTTGGAAACCAGTGTGGGCTAACAAAGATTCACTGTACAATGTATCTAGCTGAAACGATGAGTTAATGATGACCCATCACGACCCTGCACACTCAACAAAAGTACTCAGAAAAGCACTTGTGACCAGCACTCTGAACCTTGCTGACCATAGTATTGGTCAGTCCACAAATCCCATTATAAGTTTTTACTATAAGTTTACATCACATAATAATGTTTACGGAGCACTAAATAACTTCCTACAACTGGACCACATGTCATGGTTCTGTAGTCTGTGTTTAAACACAGAGATCCTAGTCAAAAGTCACAATCCTCTGGCCTCATTCTGCCAGTATCAGTTTTTATGGTTCTGTATGTAGTCTGTGTTTAAACACAGAGATCTAGTCAAAAGTCACAATTCTTTGACCTCATTCTGCCAATATCTGCTTTATAGCCTTTGGCGTTGATTCATCATTTAGATGAGTGGTTGTGTATCTGTAAACAGGAGAAAATTTGAATTACTGCCAGCTCTTTGTGCACCAAAATATAAATCAATGACATTTTAACTCCTGAAAATAAAGAACACCAAATGCTCTTACACAAAACTAAAAGCTGTATAAATTATATAAAAGAGACATCATTCCGACAAAAAAAATGGCCTGAGAATTGGATACTTAAGATTAATATCTTTTTGTTTTCACTTCAACTCTGTTAAGATACAAGTTTGTTTTCACACTTTCTCTCCTGCAGTATTTGTACTGTATTATCTGGATCATGTGTATTCTCAAAGCTAGCATTGTGTCACTAATCTTGGTATGACCTTCCTTCTTAACTTTTCTTTCTAGCCAATCTGAACATTATTTAAGAATTCTAGCTAATTCTAAAAATCAACCAAAATGTTTTAATGAATAAAATTAACGAAAGAAATACTGATCTCGATCATCCTATTATCTACCTACATACACAATCTGTTCTCTAAAGTATGGAGATATTTCTAATGTTAATGTGGCTGCTAAAGGAAAAGAACCACCTTAGTTGCATTTCAACTCCTTTGCTAAGGTGAGGCAAATTACCTTGTCAAACGAAATTATCATGATATCACTGATATCAGTCAAAGACTCTACATCCAAGTTTAGTCACCAAATCAGGTAAATAAATCCTTCCTGAAATCTGACTTATCAGACACTTATATCTGGATATATGACAACAGAATAAAGAAATATGTTGAAACTTACCTTAAAGCATTTAATAATCCATCTACTCTGCCTATGTGTTGTTCTTTTAATACTTTAATCGAAGCTCTCACCTGTAAATAAATGGCACAATAATACAGCACTATTTCACTGTCCTGAAGTACGCCTGTCCACTGACTTTGAGTCAGAGTAGGCTTCCTACAGTTGTTACTGGCCAGACAACAGAGACTGTATCAAATGATCAGAAATATCTCAATTGTTTTCCATAAAATTATCATTGTCATGGTGTTAGTAAATGATTTTCTTTTTACAAGCTGTAATGATAAATGTTTGACTTGTTAACTTATATTTATCAATGAATTTTAACTTCTAAATTTACATCTTTTAAGAAATTTTGACTTTTAAACCTGCATCTATCAATGCATTTTTGAGTTGTTAACCTTAATCTATCAATGAATTTTTGACTTGTAAAATTACATCTACTGATGAATTTTTGACTTGTAAAATTACATCTATTAAGGAATTTTTGACTTGTAAAATTACATCTACTGATGAATTTTTGACTTGTAAAATTACATCTATTAAGGAATTTTTGACTTGTAAAATTACATCTACTGATGAATTTTTGACTTGTAAAATTACATCTATTAAGGAATTTTTGACTTGTAAAATTACATCTACTGATGAATTTTTGACTTGTAAAATTACATCTATTAAGGAATTTTTGACTTGTAAAATTACATCTACTGATGAATTTCTGACTTGTAAAATTACATCTATTAAGGAATTTTTGACTTGTAAAATTACATCTACTGATGAATTTTTGACTTGTAAAATTACATCTATTAAGGAATTTTTGACTTGTAATATTACATCTACTGATGAATTTTTGACTTGTAAACTTACATCTATTAAGGAATTTTTGACTTGTAAAATTACATCTATTAAGGAATTTTTGACTTGTAAAATTACATCTACTGATGAATTTTTGACTTGTAAACTTACATCTATTAAGGAATTTTTGACTTGTAAAATTACATCTACTGATGAATTTTTGACTTGTAAAATTACATCTATTAAGGAATTTTTGACTTGTAAAATTACATCTATTAAGGAATTTTTGACTTGTAAAATTACATCTACTGATGAATTTTTGACTTGTAAAATTACATCTACTGATGAATTTTTGACTTGTAAAATTACATCTACTGATGAATTTTTGACTTGTAAAATTACATCTACTGATGAATTTTTGACTTGTAAAATTACATCTACTGATGAATTTTTGACTTGTAAAATTACATCTACTGATGAATTTTTGACTTGTAAAATTACATCTACTGATGAATTTTTGACTTGTAAAATTACATCTACTGATGAATTTTTGACTTGTAAAATTACATCTACTGATGAATTTCTGACTTGTAAAATTACATCTACTGATGAATTTTTGACTTGTAAACTTACATCTATTAAGGAATTTTTGGCAAATGCTCCTATAGGATGTACGTGGTCATACAGGATGATCACGCCCACCATCACCCGCATACAGAACATCCGTGTGTCAGCATTCTGGAATCGTGCATTGAATTCTCTGTTTAAGAAAAAAAAATAGAGAGTAAAATTTGGCAGAGTTCAGGTTTGACTTGATCATATTTTTGCATAACATCATGTGCTATTTTCTCAAAATATCAATCAGTTATCAGTATATCATACTTACGGGTTCTCTATCATGACAATACAGATATTGGCCATAGCTAGCACACATTCTGTGGTGATCACGTCATACTTACGGGTTCTCTATCATGACCCTACAGATATTGGCCACAGCTCGCACACATCCTGTGGTGATCACGTCATACTTACGGGTTCTCTATCATGACCCTACAGATATTGGCCATAGCTCCCAGACAATCTGTGGTGATCACATCATACTTACGGGTTCTCTATCATGACCCTACAGATATTGGCCATACCTCCCAGACAATCTGTGGTGATCACATCATACTTACGGGTTCTCTATCATGACCCTACAGATATTGGCCATACCTCCCAGACAATCTGTGGTGATCACATCATACTTACGGGTTCTCTATCATGACCCTACAGATATTGGCCATAGCTCGCACACATTCTGTGGTGATCACGTCATACTTACGGGTTCTCTATCATGACCCTACAGATATTGGCCACAGCTCGCACACATTCTGTGGTGATCACGTCATACTTACAGGTTCTCTATCATGACCCTACAGATATTGGCCACAGCTCGCACACATTCTGTGGTGATCACGTCATACTTACGGGCTCTCTATCATGACCCTACAGATATTGGCCACAGCTCGCACACATTCTGTGGTGATCACGTCATACTTACGGGTTCTCTATCATGACCCTACAGATATTGGCCACAGCTCGCACACATTCTGTGGTGATCACGTCATACTTACGGGTTCTCTATCATGACCCTACAGATACTGGCCATAGCTCCCAGACATTCTGTGGTGATCACATCATACTTACGGGTTCTCTATCATGACCCTACAGATATTGGCCATAGCTCGCACACATTCTGTGGTGATCACGTCATACTTACGGGTTCTCTATCATGACCCTACAGATATTGGCCATAGCTCGCACACATTCTGTGGTGATCACGTCATACTTACGGGTTTTCTATCATGACCCTACAGATATTGGCCATAGCTCCCAGACATTCTGTGGTATTTTCTACTGGGAGCTCCTTGTTGTGGGTGACAAACTTGGTGGTGGCATCACTCAACACTTTAAGCATAGGTGTGGCATTGGCATAGAACAGAGACATCCTGTTAGCCATCTCATTAGACACCACATTTTCACTGTGGTTATCATCCTGAAAAAAGCCACAAATACACACATAAATCATCATTTCACGACCAGACTCAACTTTATATCCAAAATATGTCCGTTAATTGGTACTTTATTTAAGATGTCATACAGTCTTGACAAGAAACATATTTTCATTTCTTCACTTTGCTTCACATATTATGGTCTACCAGTTAAACTTTGTACTGTGTATGATGATAAATTTTCACATAACATTTTTCATCTTTACATCGTAAGAGAAAGCATTGCAGATTAAATCCCTGAAATATAATTCTCAATACCTGATCAATCTAGCTGATATATGTTTACATTAAAGGTAATGATTTTGAACCAATAACCCAAAATATACACAGAAAGCCCTAATGCTTAATTCAAAATGTTGTTTGAAGTTATTTTAATATATTTCACTATACACTGAATTCAACCTTTATATTTGAAAATAGAATATATATATATATATATATATATATTTTTTTTTTGTGTGTGTCAGATGATCAGTATAATTACTGATCACCAATGATGCCACACTATCACTAAAGCCCAGATAACTTCAATTTGGAGTCCTCATACCTCATTTACCATCTTCATTCGACTGAGAGTTCTTCTGTAGTAACTGAAGTCATTCTGTATTGATGGGTTTGTCATCTGTAATGCAATCACTAACAAATTAGATGACAATGTCAAAAGACAACAAAGTGATGTCATGAGGAGAAAATGTGAACCTAGCAATCTATATCTGAATTGTTTACAGTTTCTACACAGAGAGGCAATCTAAAAAATACTAGATGTCAAAAACATTTATTTTCATCATTTGAATTAGGAACTTTTCTAATACTACATATTTCAATTTTAAGGGCTGTGGAATTATGACAGAAATGCATATACAAAAGTTTCAGTAATTTTTCAATCCGTCAAAATAACTTTCATTGAGTATCTAAATGGATTTGTCTCAGCTATTTCTTTTTCAACTATTTTTAAGACATTCAGGACCTGTACAGAGTTTTTTTTTACCATAGGTAATTTAAAAATACACTTACTTTTAAGTCATCAAATCTAAGGACAAAGTCTAGTATTTCAGCGAACTGTTTGAATAATGCTTGTTGTGACTCGAGGTGTTCCAGGGGAAGCATATCATTGGAGCAGAGATCTGATAGTAACACTGGTACCACATGTTCTGTAACAAAGATCAAACATAATGTGTTATGTCAGAACACATGGAACAACACATGGAACAGAGGTCTGACAGTAACACTGGTACCACATGTTCTGTAACAAAGATCAAACATAATGTGTTATGTCAAAACACATGGAGCAGAGGTCTGACAGTAACACTGGTACCACATGTTCTGTAACAAAGATCAAACATAATATGTTATGTCAGAACACATGGAGCAGAGGTCTGACAGTAACACTGGTACCACATGTTCTGTAACAAAGATCAAACATAATGTGTTATGTTAGAACACATGGAACAACACATGGAGCAGAGGTCTGACAGTAACACTCGTACCATGTTTTCTGTAATAAAATATCTAAACAAGAGGCCCATAGGGCCTGTATCATGTATCGCTCACCTGGCTTTTGCTTGGCTGAAATTACTTCACTATATCTAAGAATGCCACACCTCCATCACAAGGGGGTCAGCCAAATCATTCATACTTCAGATCAAATAATTCCAACAGAAGTAGGACTTTAAATAATGTTCTTTATTTCGATATTAGGCCCTGCTCCTCCTGCCCAAGGGGGCACCAACTCACTGTTTATATAAAATTGATTCCCATTTGACCAAGAATACTTCAAACCAATTTTGCACAAAATCTAATCATTCCTACAGGAAGAGTACAATTTTAAAGAATTTGCTCTACTTCCCCTATTGGACCCCACCCCTCCTGCCCCAGGGGGCGAAGACCAACCATTCTTACAAAACAAATTTGCCTCAACCAATGGATGCTTCTAACCTAATTTGCGTTAAATTCGCTTAGTAGTTAATGACAAGTAGTTATTTCAGAAAAACCTGGCAGATGGTGGTCGCAGTGGGCATACACTATGTAAGAAATACAACGCAAAAAACTAGTACCAAGTCTATCTTCATGTCACGTCCATCTTCATGTCACCACCCTAAAAATATGTGATTATGATCTTCTAGTTTGCATACAGATTTTGAAGCTGCTATTCCATGGCAAAACATGAGACACATGTGCCTGTAATACACTTACCTAGCTGTGCACTAAATTCAAAGAAAGTTTTGAGTTTTTCCACTAGGGGACAGACGGCCTCCCAAGCCTTTTCCTGTAATTCTTCGTTGTTGGGATTGGATATCGCCTGTGATAATTAATGTATAATTATGATTCAAAGTTGAACAGAAATCAAATCAATTATCTATTTTTATCATTAAATAAAATGCCCAAAGTTGAAAGTAGCATATTAATAGAGATACATATCTTTTTTCGGATTAATTAAATCATTATATTGAGGATATGTTATTTTATCATTTCTTGGCCAATAGCAATGAAAGCGAGTAAATTTTGTTATTATTATAAACAGATCTTTCAATGCATCAGGTTTTTTCTGTACTTTGTTACATGGAAATCTAAGAAAATACAATCGAGATAAGACAATAAAGATATCGGTATCAGTCATCTAACCACATGCTCTGCCATCAGAATTAATGTCACCTTTCTTTGTATAAAATTTTATAAGCAGCTGAGGGCTATTTTAACAGTCATTATTACTAACTAAGTTATGTAAGAACCTAGATCACACAACGACATATAATTTGGTGCTAAAACTTGTCTATTCTTTACAAAAATATACAGCTTTTTCATTTCTAACAGTTAAATAAATGTATTACAAAAATATACGGCTTTTTTCATTTCTAACAGCTAAATAAACTTATTACAAAAATATACGGCTTTTTTCATTTCTAACAGCTAAATAAACGTATAAGAGAAATAATCTAAATTGCTGGTAATAAATTGATGTATGCAGATCAGTAAAAGCAATCTGAACTACAGGCTTCTATCTGATCAAATCTGAATTAGATTGATAAGTGATGTCTGATTATCAATTACTGAAGAGATATCACATACTGATTGGAAGCTTTCTACAGAATAAAGTGTTATCCCAGGGTTTTATGTGTTATACTACCTGTCGTATTGACTCTGAAGCTCCCTGATAGCCCTGAACGCTCTCCAATATAGACTGTCCCTCATTCAGTACCAACTGTACACTCTCCCATGTAGCCCTCTCCTCTGGTGTTGGCTGGGCATCTGCAACACAATTATCATAATACCGGTACTTATATATGTATATATATCAGGTACAACACTGTCACCGATAAATAACATCATTACTACTGAACAACACTCGTCACTACACAACACATGCCACAACACAACTCTCACTACTGCTTCACAACACTGACCACTATACAACACTGACCACTAAACAACACTGACCACTATACAACACTCACCACTAGACAACACTGACCACTATACAACACTCACCACCATACAACACAAATACACAACACTGACCACCATACAACACTCACCACCATACAACACTCGCAACCATACAACACTCGCCACCATACAACACTTGCCACCAAACAAAACTCACCACTATACAACACACACCACCATACAACATACACCACCATACAACACACACCACCATACAACACACACCACCATACAACACTCGCCACCAAACAACACTCGCCACCAAACAAAACTCACCACTATACAACACTCACCACCATACAACACTCACCAATATACAACACTCACCACCATACAACACACACCACCATACAACACTCCCCACCATACAACACTCCCCACCATACAACACACACCACCATACAACACTCACCCCCATACAACACTCCCCACTATACACCACTCACCACCATACAACACTCACCATCATACAACACCCCCCACCATACAACACCCCCCACTATACAACACTCACCACAATACAACACGCACCACTATACAACACTCACCACTACACATTACTTGCCACCATACAACACTTACCACTATACAACAATTTTACATTGAATACGTTATCACATCACATTGCATACACATTCACTACATATACCATGTAAGAATTCCATAAAAATTCATAAATGTTGGTAATTTTAGATCTACAGAAATGATAAAGAGACATATGTATTATCCAGTTAAGAGGTACTCCTTGACGGTCATATTAAAGTTAAAATCTGTTTGTAATTAATAAACATTATCGTCATGCCCCCACCATAAAAATTACATAAAATTATCACCAGATTTAATTCAAACACCAAGCAACTTTATTCTGTCAAGAAACTTTATGCAAAGGTCATGTATGAATCAAGTACCCAGTATACTTTAGACATTGTTGTGTTTTAGGTCAAGGCCTTGGTTGTGGGGCAATTATATCTTACAGATACCACAGTTGTAGTTTTCTAAAGAAGTTTTATAAATATATACCATAATAGGTCTGAATTCTCTATCAAAAATTAATTTTCTGTTTAGAGCAGCGATGACCTTGACCTTTGACGTTCAGACTTGCAAAACAATCCAAAGTAAGGCCTTTCAGTTAGGAGTCACTGTATCAGATTTGAATTTGTATTAATGAACCACAGGAATTCAACCTATAAGCACTGAAAGATATTTCTTATTTGTACAGTAACCTTGACTCTTGATATTCAGACTTGGAAAGCAATCTAGGAGTTTTTTTTAGTAATGAAGTACAAAGTTTGAACTTGAAAAGACTGACCACAGGAACTCAATCTGTTATACTGAAACCAATGTTCTATATTAAGATGGTGACCTTTACCTTCACCTACAACCTTGAAAAGTGGAAAAGCACTACATGAAGTTTAAGTTCTACAGACTTGGAAGAATTCGTGAATGAACAGAGATCAATTTTTCATTTACCAGTTGTGTACCAGTGGCCTTTACTTTTGATCTTCAGACCTAAAAAGCTATCCTTCATATATAAGCACTATTAGTAAGTCTCAGTTTCATGGACTCAAAGTATGTCTCATGTTTTTGCATGGATTTTATTTCTTCAAAGACAAGCAGATTTCCATGTAGCAACACAGAGTTGATATAAACTTAACATGGATTTGTTCTGGATTATTTGTATTCTTCCTAAATCAAATAACTATTACATATACAACTGCACTGGACTATATTTGTAAACCCTTAATCTTAATGTTGACTCTCTATCATGTATGGATTAACAAAGTATTATAGCAGATACTTAAAATAATAATTACCATAAACCACAGTATAATTATACCAGACTGTTGTGTCACCATATTGGTATTTGAAAGTAAGACCCATCTGTATGTGTGAAATTAATTTTATATTATCTCATTTAACATGGTTTATAACAAGCATAAGTAGTATGATTAATGCATCTATATGTCAATGAATGCACAAACACTATTCCAGATTGTCAGATTTTGTAACAAGGAAGTTAAAAATGATAAATGGGTTGTTTTATATCATACAGATGTTAACATCAAGCAAGCATCTAAACATTTCAGTTTAAAGGATGATATTAGAACTGATACCATATTTAATCACAAGTGTGGTCTGTTCCCCAGCAAAAAAATCAAAGTACTGAAAGTACTGGTATGCTAAGACCATTAAAAAATAAATTCTTTGTTATTAGCTTGCTATATACTGAAACCAACTATATGCAATCAGTAAATCATTGCAGCCCATAAAAAATGACCAGCAGATATCAGAAATAACAAGCATAGTAGTATTACTTATGTAATACATGTCCCAAGTAGGCTCCAAGATGCAATGATAGGGAAGTTGTCCATTTCTTTGGATACATTGTAGGGAATGTTGATCATGGACACCATATTATCACTTTAAAGACTGTGTATCCTATTGGTTTAAGACCATTAGTTAGACCATCATGCAAAAAACATGCTATATACAAATTGGACAGCTTCATTTTCCAGATTGTTTGTAAATGACTGCATAAGAGCGCCAATTTTCTAAAACAAACATGACTTGTCACCATAACTTAAAATAGAAGATGCCTATTCTTCCAGAAAACCTTGTCTTATTCTCCTTGTACTTTTTCTGGGAATCTTCAAGTAGATATTGACTTTGTTCCAATTTTTCATGTTTATATATTCTTTGTTCTCTAAAACTTGTCACAAGATATTTTATTCCTCTTGTATTATCATTTTTTTTAACATCCTTACAGTGACCTTGAACCTTGAAATTTACAAGATGTGAATATCTTTTAGGTTGTGAAATTTGATAGAAAAATGAGGGTAATACAATGGAAAAACACCCCCATGCAACTATCCGTTTTTTGACTGTCACCTTGATCTTTGATATCTGACCCTGAATTTCTAAAGAAACCGACTTCTCCTCACAAGTGATACATGTTCCAAATTTGATTAAGGTATACTAACTGTCTTGGTCTCAATGCGTTTACAAGGTAATCATATAGTACTTATGCAAGTACTGTGACCTCTACATTCAATCCTCAAAATCATTACTATATCCTCTCCACATTGCCCAGGGATAACTGAAACTGTAATCCAAATGATAACTAATACCCCCATCACCCACAGCCTTAGTTATCTCCCCATGGTGACCTTTTGCAAAAAAACATCCTCTGAAACACAGCGGCATGTGCACATGTTCCCTAATATTCCTGCGAAGTTTTGTTGAAATTGGTCCACAGGTTTAGAAGTTGACCGACATGCAAAACCTGTCTATATTGACCAGATGCCATGGCAATCAATATTTCCAGGGGAAAATGGTGCATGCACATCTACACATTGTCCCGAATATTACTGTAGTTTCATTGGAGTTGTCTAGACAAGATGTGTCTACAGACAGACAAACAGATGGATGGACAGATAGACAACTTGATTCGATTTACCCACCCTTTTGGTGGTATAAGAATGCACAAGAGTGCTTACAAATTCCATGTGGACAGACATCATGGAAAAATAATAATGATAATAATAAAAATAAAAACATGATAAAGATGCTTATATCTTGTTTTCTTTATTCAGTATACTTTCCACGCTTTGATCAGCAATGTAATCGTGTCATGTCAATATCCTAGTACAAGATTGCATACACAAAATTGTTGTAGGTAGACTTTTAAGATAAATAAAAAAAAATACATGTCTAAGTTTAAATGAAGGTTTTAAACAGAAGTTGTATTATGTTCAGTATACAGTGATTTTTCTAGACAATTGTAAACTATAAACTCGGTATACAGCGATCTTTTCTACACATTTGTAAACAACAAACTCAGTATGCGGTGATTTTTTCTACAAAAAGTTTTTTTATATATTGTATATACATAACTCAGAAAAAAAAAATAAGTAAATCTTTCTATGTACACTACAAACTCCGTATACAGTGAGCCTTTCTACATAAACTTGGTATAACTAGTGAATCTTTCTACTTAAGTAAATTGAAGATTGTAAAGAAATTTACTACAAATGCAGCATACAATGATCTTTTCTACATTTTTTTAGTTTCTGCCATTTGTTGATTCTTCTTTTGTGATGGTAATTATATTGCCGCCTTTAGAGAGTACTGTGACCTTAAAAGGCAACATGGTTGTTAGCATATCCTCAAGTGATTAACCATCTTCAACATCTAATTGGAGGTCGGAAAGAAGGACGTTTTTCTCCACCATAAGGTCCTCAAATCCATTGTTGGTCACAATGGCCAATTCCAAGTTAGAATAATCAAGAGATACCTTCTACCATTCCAGATTTCATTTCTTCAGGGACATCCACCTGCTGAAAGAGATTAAAGCAAATAAATAACTATATTTCTTTATTGCTATGATTATGTACAAGAAATATACACTTCTGTATAAGCTTATAGTCTTGAACTTCCCAATAGGAGTCTATATTAAATATAATTAATTGTTTTGTCATTCAGGACTGTCAAATTATGAAGTGATGGACAGCTAGAAAATAAGAATATCTTGACCATGGTCATACAGAGATTGAATCATAAAGTTAAATTCATGAGATAAATCTGTGCAGTATGATAATTTATTTTGACGTTTGCATTTCAAAAATCATTATGACTTGAAAGGTAATGTGTAATTTAATTCATTACATTGGACTGTCATGCAATGGCAATGCCATTTTCATAATGTAATTGTAATTTCATTAATTACATCATCATGTAATTGAACCCATGCCTGTTACAAACAGTAGCTGTCCTAAATATTCCTAAAATTAAATTTGGCTATG